TTAATTCAAACATTGACCATTTCGAAACCTTTTACCCAGTTTGAAGCTAACAGATCTGCAACATTCTTTATTAACAGATACAGACACCCATTACTAAACATGCCAGCCTCTCTTCATATAATTGATACATCACTGATAATCTGATAGACCTGTCCATCATACATCCATACATTTGTACTATTTTAATGGGAAATGATTATTTTTGCATTAAATGTTTGTATAGCTTATGAAACATTTTATTTGCATTTCAGTAGCAGTTTCACGAACCATTGCTGAAAGCGTTACAATTCAGTTTATTCAGTGTAGGATTCGGCAAACTGATTTAACCCTCATGTTATGTTCAAATTCTGTATAATCTTGTTGGGTCCAATTTGACCCCATTTGGATCCAATAATTCCCCGAAAATCACACTATAGTATAATCAGTATAAAATTATTAACTTTTAATAATCCTTTGCACACATTACAAAGAATAAATATCTGAATTTGTGATTAATAATAATGTTTTAAGCACTATTTTAAGATGGCCCCTCCCCCACCCCACACTGGGACATCTGGGACGATTGCGATTACACATTTTTAACAATAATAGCTTAGTGTTAAGTAATCTTGACAAACTATCATTTAAAAGCTTTCAGACTCTAGTTTTCATATTTGGTGACTGATTTTCAAAACAAATGACAGAGCAATAGATAGATAACAAATTTTTCTTCATTCGCGATGTGGTTCCAAACCGTAATGCACGCCCTGGTTCTTTCTGTATGTTTTTATGTGGGTTTTAGAGGTTGAATTCAAATCAAATATTAACATTACTGGGCAAACCACTACTGAAAAGGATGTCTACTTCATAAATATTATGGAAATATATGATTGCAATCGCTCAAACCATATATGGAAAGGGGTGTGTCCTTATATGGTCACCAGTGGAGCCTGGATGTCATCTAGTGGAAAAGTTTGGTACTGTGATACCCCCCAAAAAATTGTAGCTACTGAAAGTTAGAAAAAGTCACAAAATGTTAAGGGAAAAAAAAAAAAGTCATTTCAGTCTACTCAAAAATCGAAATGGGACAAATTGACCCGTAACATAACATGAGGGTTAAACTGGTAAATTGTGAGTTTGTTAGTCTGTTGAACAAATCAGTGACTCATAAATGTAATTTGTTTGTTTGACCTGTAAATGTGTGATCTACTAATAAGAACCAGTGTTGTGCCGAATTTCGCCAAATTATTACCACCCTCGTTGAGGTCAGTATCCGATTGCCTAATCCTAACCCCACCCCAATCCTAACCCCTCCCCCACAACTAATCCTAAACCTACCAATACTAGGTGGGTCAGAATTTGGCACAACACCGCATTATGAGTAATTTCTTTGTTAATTCGCCATGCTGCATGATTGTGTTCGTGTTCACGGTACACCGTCTTTTGCTCGTTCACATTCAAAATGGACTGTAAACATACATTTACAGCTTATGTAACTTATTTTTCTGTACAATGCACAGTACTTTCATCACTGCCAAAAAGCGGTGCAGGAAAAACTGAATTTAATATGAGAGTTCCTCCAAAATGTGTTATTGGTAGCACTTTATTTTAGAGTCCTGCTCCCCATGTACAAACTAAGTACTTATTACACTAACTGGGTAATAACTAGGTAGGCTACTAACCCTGAACCTCCCCCTAAACCTAACCTTAACCCATTACCTTATATTACACAGGTAAGTACACTATAAGTGCACGTAATGTAAAATAAAGTCCAACCAATTTATTTTTAAATCGTTCTGTCCAGTCAATAGAACGCATGGTTTATACTTTTGTGTAAGGGCAAAAAGCAAACTGCATTGCATTTCCTCCTCCTCTCTTTTTTTTTTTTTTAACAATAGGGGTCAGTATACTTTTTTTCTCAAACCACACACGGTTGGAGCCTGATCCCTCCCACTCTCATGTCCAGAGGCTTTCCCCAGGTGTCCAGAGGTCGTCAGAATGTGTTCAATTAGCTTGTGTAACCAGAAGCAGGGCGGACACTTAATCCCACAGCACCTGCTGCCTCTTCACAGGTTAACCCCAGTCAGCAAGTCACTGAGGGAGGCAGGATATCACACGTTACCCCAGCTCAGTGGCCCTGGATTTACTTGGCCGTCTGATTGGACGTGATCTCCAAGCTGGCCGACCGGCAAGCAGCTGGACACCTAATTAGGTGGCCGAATAAAGCCAGATGAAGTTTTTCAGGTGACCTGCACTCTCTCCGCATGCTAGGTTCCTGCCATTTGTGCAGAGCTAATTAACACGAAATAAGTGTGCCTGATTACAAGTTTGAAGAGTCTATACTTATAAAAAGTGGAAGTGTTGCAGGGCCATCAAACAATTGCCAACTGTGTCGTTTCAAGGGCTAAGGGCACTGCTAATTCAAGACAAATAGGCAATCATAAAATGCATGTAAAATTGATTAAATGACGCATATTAAAAATTACGTATATATACGGGAGAACGAAGCTAGGTGGGTTTTTAAATAGACACATAAAGAACAATTTTAAAAATCTTGCGTCACTGGCCAAGAAAAAAAAATCAGGGCATGTTGTCGCACTGCTTGGGGTAAGTTGTCACAATGGAACTGCCATTTAACAGCCTATTGAAGACTTCTAAAAAAGAAATTTTTATTTTAATTCGTATGATTAATATTTCAAATTAAATAGTTTTGACTTCAGTCAAAACTAAATAAAAAATAAATCCAATCCTGTTTTAATTCATACAATAGTCTTTTAAAAAATCAAGTCATAAATGAACGTAAAAATATATCAGACATTCTTGTAAGCGAAACACAGCCCTTATAACAATTTTAACATTCAGCTCAGTTGATTTGTCAACATTAGTATTTTAAAAGTACAAGCATGCTAACTGAAATACTAACTACTATTTTTGTTTTATTCAATTACCTAAAGTAGACTATCGGTACATTTCAATGAAAAGAAATCCTGAAATCTGTAGTTCTTTTTTAAGTTAAAGTCATTCAGAAGTGAGAACCAGCCAGACATACTCAGTCATTGTAAGTTTTAAACTGCAAAATACAGCAACTAACTCTAACTAACTTCAAAGTAGACTTGTAATTGTACATCGTAAAAGGCTTTGTGACAAGTTAAGAGAAGAATAACACGATGCAATGAGCTCCGCAACTTCACATGTGGCAGAGCGCCTCTATGAAAACCCAGCAAGCAAGTTGAAATGTCAAGCTACTTTAAAATGTTCCTTCTAATAAGTCACTAGGTTGGAGGAAAAAAAAGCACGATTTTCAATTGACAACACAGATATCCCATGTTTTACAAAGTGCGCCCATGATGGATGGTTCGGGTTCAGTAACACCTTTTAAACCCGAGAGATAAAGACTGCAATGAAAGACGCACTGTCTCTTTCTAACAGCGCAGGCAGCCACAACAATGACAGCTATTAAAGCTCGCGACGAGGTCGGACTGAAAGAGCATGGCATAACATCTCTGTCGGCCACCAATTCTGTTGTGGTAAATGTTTTAGTTCTTCTCTCTCTTTATCTAATTAATTCTCTCATACCCGGAGCAATGTGGATCATTTGCGATGGGGACAGGTCAACGCGACGCATAATGGAGACACAAAAGGAGGAAGAATGCGATGGAAAACGTTGAATAATGCAATCACAATTCACAACGTTTCACTTAATTTTCTCCTCAATCAAGTGTTCCGTGCGTTTCACCTTTCTTTCTCTCCCCACCCCCCCTTTTTTTTCTCCATGCAGAGCAAAACTGAACTGATTGCGCAGGGAAATTATAACCCTGGTAAGATTTTTTTGTTCCGTACCACGGCGGCACCATTACAGATGAATTAAATGAGAGAGAAGCCCTACGAAGCACAGTCGACACCCTCCCACTCCCGCCCACGCCGAACCCTAGGATCACACTTTTCAATCCGGTCCACGGCTAAAAGCATTCATTCCTGCGTTCAGGGGCCCCGTGCACAACCGTGCCTGGAGCACCTACAAGAACGCGGTCATCTCGCCGGACGGGAAATTTCTGTCAGTAACTAGCGGGATATCGGGGATTCGTATTCATAAAGCCTTGAGAGAATGATTACACTTACAGTAGTTGCACTTAGGGGTCCACTCAAAAAAAATAAGGCACTCTAGGGAACTTCAAGAAAAGAAAGCTTTTAGACTGGTGGGGGGAGATTTGACATCGTCCTTTCCCACCGAGACTAGCGACTCCAAACATGGGTCGCCTGGGATTTACGCGTTCGATTTATTAGTTCTAATTGTTTTTCTTCATTATGAAGAGGAAGGGGGGGGACTTCCCCCTCCCTCCGTGTGGAAGTTCACAACACGGCCGTTTTAAAGCGGTCACAATCTCCCGTATTGAAAATTGTCCTTCAATCAACGCTGAAGTGCTTGTTAAAACAGATGCATTTTCTTCAACCTCTGCTCTATCATCTGAACAATCGTATTCCCACAGGGAAGCTTCTCACTTAGTAAACTGGCTATAATGAATCATTTTCAGAATTAGTTTTTGTTGTTATTATTGTGGTGTGGTGTTGTGTGCTTCGAACCAACCTCCGTTTTGTTTTTTTTTTGTTTGTTAATGCTGGTCGACTGTGGGAGCTGGCTAGGTAATGGAAGCTGAACTATTTCATTAGGCTTTTGAGGGGGAAAACTACTAAAAGGGGGCATTAGCATATTCGATACTTTTTCAGCTATTTAAAAATGGCAGTGGATGAATGTCAACTGTGAATATCTTAATGTCCCGTCATCTGTTTTGACAATAACCTTTCACTTTCAGCGAGAAAAAGGACAAATACTATAATCTAAATATTAGGAATTTTATTTTGCACACTGCTTAGTAAACTTAGTAAAAACAAATCAAATATATAAAAACATTTAGTGTAAGTGCATAAAAGACATCACATTTGTAATAAATAAAACTTTAATATAAAAAAGGATGTATAAAAAAAAAATCTGAGTCTCTCAAATCACACACATCTGTACTCACACATGCAATATCATACGCATCCGTGGCGCATGTGAAAGTTGACAACGTATTCGGCGTTGGTGCGCTGCACAGAGATGGCGAAGGGCTCGAAGGGATGGAAGGTGAACGCGACCAGTCTCCTGACAGTGTGGTTAATGGGTCTGCCCAGCAGGCCTGCCTGGATCTTAAATTTCAGCAATCCAGAGTCCCTCGCATAGAACCTGCAGGAGGGGGAAAAAGCAGTGCCAGTTTATTATGATGGCAAATGGCATTGCGACAGCAAGAAACCCCTGTATTTTACAGCATAAGCGAACCGTCAGAAAATTATGGTAACATTTGTCAGTTTGAAATTTTTGAGAGCTCTCAGGAAGTGTTTTAAATATCGCCTGTCATGGCATGAAACTACACATCAGTGTTTCAAGATTTAACAAGGAAGTTGATGTAGACCTCACGCTGGGCCTCATTTTTCACTATACTGGGAAAGTGGGCGTACATTCTGGTCTCTTCTGCAATTCACTGCCTTTGTCAACAATCTTTAGACTGTGAGTATGTCTACATTTATGGATGAAATTAAAACTTAATAATATTCAGGAATGCTTTAAAAGTGAAAATTAATCATAAAATGTTTAAATATTTCAATAAAAGTCCACTACTGTACTGCTTAACGGAAGGGATTCGTAAGCTGGTGAGATGAGACGCATGCCTTTGGTGTGAGCGACCCGGGTTGTGAGACACCAATGTGTCCCTGAGGAAGTCACTTAACCCCTAGTTGCTCCAGAGGCGTGCAACTCCTGACATATATAGCAATTGTAAGTCGCTTTGGATAAAAGTGTAAGCTAAATGAATAAAGCTAAAAATGTAAATGTAAAGGTTAGGGGTACCTTATGGGATGATCGCCACAGGTCTTTGGCCGCTCCATGACAGACACCCACTTGTCATCGTAGCTGAAGAGGGAAAGATCCAGATACGGGCTACTGCTGTAGGACTGAGCACTGATGGGCAGCTGACCAAGAAGCCTTCTGACCGCTTCTGTGTGCCCTCCGTATTTGGCATTCACGATGGTGTCTTTGAACCTGCACACAAACAAACCTGTCCATAAATAAAGTCCAGACTAAGGAACTCACATTAATTAACTCAGTGGTTCACGTAGGTTGATCATTGTTCTGGATTTCATCCAGACGTAGTCTTTAACAAAAAAAATGATTTTCTCAGCTTTTTGCTCAAATTGTTGCTTTTTTTTATGAAAATGAAAAAAAAAGTGTTGATTAAAAAAAACAGAGATTTTTTTTTTTGTATGTGTTTGTTTAAAAGCAGAGGGTCTGTTCTTTCTTTTGAGAAACTGCATGTTCAAATATTAATACAAAATAATATTCTGGGGGCCATACATTTTTCGTGAAAATGATAAAAAAAAAACTGCTGGTGGCTGGGAACTTATTTTTTAAGGTGGCAGGCAAAGAGTTAAACAGCAAAACCCCTTCAGTGTGGGTGGTGCTACCAAATGTGATGGCAAAGGAAAAAAACCTTGGATCAAAATGGAAGAGACAGCATGTCACCTTGGCAGAGGGAGGGGAAATATTACAAGATTATTACAAGTTTATACAAATTGTATTATTTTATTTTTATTACTTGTAATTTATACAAAAGAACAAGATATGATAGGTAACAAAATTAATTTAGTTTGATAAATACTTTTTTCAGCAATAATTTGAAAGAAAAAAAAGTCTGGTGAACATGATGTACACAACTTTGAGTTTTTTTGTTTTTTTTTAAGAAAATGTTATTCATTCAGAAAGGATGCGTTATATTGATCAAATAATGTTGCAGAAAATTGCTATTTCAAATAAAAATTGTATCACAGTTTCCACAAAAACATGAAGCAGAACAACTGATTTCAACATCAATAACAATAGTTTTTTGACCACTAAATCAGCATATTAGAATGATTTCTGAGGGATCATGTGACACTGAAGACTGGAGTAATGAAACTGAAAATTCAGCTTTGCATCACAGGAATAAATTAGATTTTAAAATATATTTTACTAGAAAATGGTTATTTTAAATTGTGATAATTTCACAATGTGCAGCCTTGGTGAGCATAAGAGACTTCTTTCAAAAACAAAACACAAACTAAGATATAACTAACACCAAAACTTTTGAATGGTAGTGTACAAACAAAAATCTGCCTGCCTCACAAAAGGTGGATTAGGTTTTTCTAAAAGGTTTCAGAAACTTTTTAAAGCAGCCTGCATTTGAGACATAATTAAAGTTTTTGATATCAAAAGGTGTCAGCATGAGCGAGTTCTCACCCAATATGTAGAGCTGCGCATTTATACTGAGGCATTGTGAAGGCCTTTTGTGAGAAAAGTGAGGCAGGCCGCTTCTCGCTCGACCGTCAAATTGTAGCTTGTGAATTTGGCAATGCTTGATTTTTATATCTCACCTGCGTTGTACCTGGCGGGCAAAGTTGTTGCTGGAAGCAGAGCAGGGGAACTGCACAGCCTCGCTGTGGAGTGTGGCGTTACGGAAGAGGTCGCAGAAGTTTTCAAAAAGCTCCAGAAGTTTGTCAGAAGTGTTCTCGAAAACTGCAATAACCTCAGTGGTTAGCATATTGTAAACCACGAAGAAAGAGGGCTAAAAATGAAGAGGAGAATTGAGACGGTAGTTTACACATCGATGGTTTCCTTTTTCATAGAAACTATCGACTACACAACCGATCCACCAAACATGACTTAAAGGGATAGTTCACTTTGAAATTCATTTTTGGGATGTTTTAGCTTACCTCAAGGGCATCCAAGATGCAGGTGTCTTTGTTTCCACAGCATTTTCAATTTTGATATTTTTTGGTCAAACCGTTCTTGTCTGTCAGTCAGATAATGGAGGTTTATGGGGTCCACCTCCAAATTAAACATGATTTAATGACTCGTAAATGAAGTACACATTGATGGCCTAAGACAAGAAACAAGCGGTTTTTGTGAGAAAACGAACAGTATTTATATCGTTTTTACCTCTTTTAACCAAAGCCATGTCCAAGGGATCTGAAGGCGTTTCGGTCTGTGCAAGCGTCGGAAGTGATCTTTTACGCGGTTGCAAAAAAAAAAAAAAAAAATCAATGTTGTCTGTTGATATATCGAAATCATCTTCCATTGCAATTTCCTGTATATCTAGATATGTTTAGATATTCACAGTGACGGGTAGCACTTCTAAAATCTCTGTGTAAACAATGAGTGACGTACACGCGTGAGAGATCACTTCTGGCGCTTGCGCATACAGAAACGCCCGCGCCCTCAGAATACTTTGATGTGACTGTGATTGCAAGAAGTAAAAACGATATAAATACTGTTCGTTTTCTCACACAACCGCTCGTTTCGTCTCTAAGGCCATCAATGTGTACTTACATTTACGAGTCATTAAATCATGTTTAATTTGGACTTTGTGCATGCTCTTTGAGGTGAACCCAGGGTAGACCCCATATACCTCCATTATATCAAATATCATTATATCCTCCAAAAAAATATCAAAATTGAAAATACTGTGGAAACAAAGACACCTAGATCTTGGGTGCCCTTGAGGTAAGCTAAAACATATCAAAAATGCATTTCAAAGTGATCTATCCCTTTAACACAAATCCCACTCGTTTAGAAATTCTCAACAAAATGATAACAAACATTATGGTTTTACAGACAAGGCTTTAGCTAGTCCCACACTAAAATGCATGTTTGAGTTGTCTTAACTGAAAGCAACTTACACTGACAAATCTTAAAACACATCAGTGCCATTGTTTGGTCTCAAGTTGCTCACCAGTAATGTTTCTCTCTAAGGCAAGTTTATAAAAGCCACTTAAATATCTTAATTTGAACAAAGGCTTAATCTAAGTCCTGTCTGTAAAACCGGGCCAATATCTTACACTAGCAAAGATTAAGCGATGACGCCAGCAAGGGCATATCTGATTCAGTCTCTGGTTACTCTAGTGCATGTGTTTTTGATTTTTTCACCTGCGAGGGGTCGGTGACCCTCAGTGTGACTACATCTTCGCTGGTGTACTTGATGAACAGGTGATGTTCGTCCAGGAGCTGCATCTTCCACATGCGCAGCTGCCTGAGCTGATCGAAGAATTGAAAGAACCGCCGCTTGGCCGTGGCACTGCCGTCCTGCTCTGCCCTCCTCCACAGGTACACCAGGAGACGGTGCTTCAATGAGTTGATGGTTTTCTCCTTATAAAGGCGGGAGAAACCGGGCTGGCCTTCAGCCTGGGCTTCGGAGTAAACCGCAGACAGCGTCAACAGGTCATCCTCGTAACAAAAACGGCCGATGGTGCGCACGTCAAGGAACGTTCCTTCTGGTGTCACCTGGGCAGGAGGAAGGATCGAAAATTTATATAGTTCAATATTTTAGTGTAAATATTTAGGGTCAATATTAATAAGAAGGGGTTGGGGCATTTTATTTGTCTTTCTCCAATGTTTATTTGGACCAGTCAAACATACCAAACTGGGTTGAAACCTGTCGCCAGTCTGAGCAACATGGTCTGACAAAATAAATGTACTTATGTACCTATGTCGCACGTTTCTACTCCGATAGTCATGGAACGAAATTACTAATAAAATTCAATTTGTGAAAAATACTACTAATGCAATACAGTGAATGACAACTGTGTGTGGTGTTCAATTGGCTGACATGATAGTGATTAATTACATCAAAACAAAAGATAACATGTATGGCTTCAGACAAAAACATTGTTTTTGTCTTACACTTCATAATGAACAAATTTTCTGTCGGTTCTTTTTCGTGAACTGGAATGTGTGCAAAGAATTGTGAGTGACTGATGGACGTGAAGGATTCGCTTGATGCACTCTTTAAAATGTGCTGAATGAACGACACAAAAAAAAACGAAGACTGCCTTGCGAATGTCCTTCCAACTGAAATGGCTTCACACAGAGCCTGATGACATAATAGGCAAGATATGCACCCTTCCATTTAAGAAGCATCCATACACTCACCGGCCACTTTATTGGGTACACCAATTCAACGCCTCAACAACGCAAATGGCAGCAAACAACTCAATGCACATAGGCATGTAGACATGGTCAAGACATCTGCTGAAGTTCAAACTGAGCATCAGAATGGAGAAGAAAGGTGATTTAATTGACTTTGAATGTGGAATCGTTATTGGTATCAGACAGGCTGTCTTGAGTATTTCACATTCACGCAAAACTATGTATAGGGTTTGCAGAGAAAGGTCCAGTGAAACAGAAGTTCTGGGGGAGAAAATGCCTTGTTGATGCCAGATGTCAGAGGAGAATGGCCAGACTGGTTCGAGCTGATAGAAAGGCAACAATGACTCAAATAACCATAGAGTGCCGAAGTGATGACGTCACTTTGTAGGACGACTCGGAAGCTAGCGGCGCATGGCTTCCCTCGGTTGAAAAGCAATGCATTTTCCCCATAGACTTTTGGAAAATCGCAAAAAAATAAGATCTGTGTTTAACAAAGTGTTGTGACCCTTACACGTTTTGTCTAGCAAGATAATCTTGACAAGTTAATCCAAAATGTATACATTTTGAAGCCTATATAAAGATTTTAAAAAACACAATCAGACACAATAAAGTTTAAAAACCACAAGCCGGTTATAACTGTGTGTTCTATGTCATAGATCAAAACGTGAAAATATTTAGAGGCTTTGTTCACCACAAACCTTATTTCGGGCGATTTAGAAAAAACCCATTCAAAAATCCCATAGGCTTTAGAGCGAGGGAACCGTAGTGCTAAAATGCTAACTCACTTCCACGTTTTGGCCTACAGAGTGACGTCGCAACTTTGGCACTCTATACAACAGAGGTCTGCAGAAGAGCATCTCTGAACCCACAACACGACGTCAAACCTTGAAGCAGAAGAGCTACAGCAGCAGAAAACCACACTGGTGCCACTCCTGTCAGCTAAGAACAGGGAACTGAAACTACATTTTGCATGGGCTCACAAAAAATGGACAATAGAAGATTGGAAAAACGTTGCCTGGTCTGATGAGTCTCCATTTCTGCTGCGACATTCAGATGTTGGGGTCAGAATTTGGCCTAAACAGCATGAAAGCATGGATCCTTCCTGCCTTGCATCAACGATGCAATCAAATTGCATCAATTAAAGTAAGGTGTAACTGAATACTGTGTATTGCTGTACAGATATGTGTGCATGCCTAATTTTCTTGGGCTCCATTGACCATTTAAATGCCACAGCCTACCTAAATACTTCCAGTTTCAGCTGGATAATGCACCATGTCACAAAGCTTAAATCATCTTAAACTAGTTTATTGAACATGACAATGAGTTCACTAAACTCAAATGGCCTCCACAGTCTGAATATATCAATCCAATAGAGCATATTTGGGATGTGGTGGAATGGGAGACTGTACCATGGCTGTGCAGCCAATAAATCTGCAGCAACTGCGTGATCCTATCATGTCAATATGGACCAAAATCTCAGAGGAATGTTTCCAGCACCTTCTTGAAACTATGCCACAAAAGAATTAAAGCAGTTCTAAAGGCAAAGGAAGTCCAACTCGGTACCACCAAAGTGTAACTAATAAAGTGGAAGGTGAGTGTAGTTATCTCTTTAATGGCATTTTTGGTATTTTTATTTGTCCAAAATGTAAAGAAATGGAGCATATACATTTTTTGAGTTACAGTTGCTTTTCTATCAGCTCGAACCAGTCTGGCATCAACAATGGGTACAAATGGGGTAATGGAACTGGCAATGATGACAAGCCAATTTTAAAAAAAGGCACTCCTCTTGGGCACTATGATCTGACAAAATAAATTCGTTTGATAAACACTTGTCAATGATATTTTTATTTTTTTTTCTGGGGTTCAGAATTCTCTTTCTATTTGTATGAAAAAGATGTAGTTACTCTTAGACGTAGTCACTCTTACCTGGAAAACATGTATGGTCTGTTGCTGCACAGAAAGCACAGCCAATATATTTCTGTACAGGTACAGTCCTTGATTGTGTGACAGGATGATTTTGTCACACTTAAAGGTGCGTGTATCACACAGTCGGCCTGTGTGCAGGTCTATGATGTGCAGAGAGTAGTCTTCAAGGGGTGAGCGTGGGTTTGGTGTCACGGATTCGTTGTTTCTGTACACCTCGAAAAAGTGCGGATGAGGTTCCTCCGGCAAGTAGGCAGCGGAGCCGACGATCACATAGCGGCAGTCGTCGGTGAAAAGACTGCACTCTCTATTCAAGTGCTCACCGTTGGAAGCCACGTTGGTGACGTGGAGCAGCGAGAAGAAGCGTTCGAAGAGTCTGCCTCTGATGTTGAGGGAGCGCTGGTCGTTCCCATTGGCCAACGTTTCTCCGTCCTGACCCTGGAGAAGATCTTCAGCGGCTTGGCATCCCTGGTACTCGTAGATTTCCAAGGAAGTTTGATCAGAGGAGAATGCAATAAAGCATCGTCCGTCAGGGGAGAACTTGCGCAGGAAGCAGGGCGGCTTCTCCACGTTCACCACTGTGAAGTTGGGGAACAGGTTCTGGTGGAAACAGCGCACACGGTACCAATGAGCCCCGAGTGGACCGGAGCAGATCCGACGCCTCTCTAGCCTGTAGACCACGTTCTGGTTCTGGATGCGTCTCGGCTTCAGAGTGGGGAAACCATCCTCCAATGTAGTGTTGCGGTGAGCAGCCATAATAACAGCATTACCACTGTAAATGAGAAATTAAATAATCAAGTTAATAAATGCAGGGGAGCAGACCTCTCAACAAAATAGGTTAATATAATACTAATAATAAACAATTAGGCTGGTGGGTAGCCATACTAACAGCTGAACCAATCCAAATGAGAAATTAAAACATTATTGGAAGAGATTAATAATGGAAACCAGAAAGGGCAGATCTCACGACAAAATTACTTTATATAATACTTTTTATAAACACATAAACAGGTGGGGAACCATGATGACAACAGCAAATGAGAAATCAAGTTAATGAAGGCAAAGCAGGTAGAGCAGATCCCTGCAAAATCGTTTTATATATACTTTTTAAATACAAAAAAAAATAGACAGAAAGGCAGCAATAATAACATATGTACCGTTGCAAATGAGAAACTAAGACAAAAAGCAAGTAGAGCAGATCTATCTACAAAATTACTTTAAGCTAACGTTATATTAAAAACAAAGACAGAAAGAAAGAAAAGAAACAGACATATAACCTGCTATGACTCTCGTGTTGCTTTTTCGGGTTTATTATATACTAAAAGCTTAAAATAAGCTCTTTTAAAAAAAATAATCAAAATAAAACATCAGAATAAACACCAAAACACACGCAGTTGATTAGTTAGTTGTGCATTTCTTACCTGGACGTTCATTTAAACACTTCTCATGTTCATATCTGTGCAGCTTTAACTATCTGGGAGTAAGCATACCCAACAGACAACGTATACCCGCATAAAATAAATAAAAAGAGAAAACAACGTTTGAAAGGGAGGTGAAATGTGGTTCAAAAGTTTCTTCAGGAATGTAAGTTTAAAGATCTGTTTCGCTGTCTAGCCGGCGGAAGTAAGTGGCATCGGCGAGGTCTGCGCATAAACAGTGACATGAGGTGCACAGAGTGTCAGAGCGCCCCCTTCAGCAGCGGCGAAACAGCGCGACTACACCTAATGCTAATGATAATAATATTACGAGTAGATATTACTCTCTGTTAGTGACGACATAGGCTACAATAAATTATTTTGGAACATTTTCCTGCTGATAAAAAACCTCTATACCAAACTAAACTGGTTTGCTGGTGGTTAGATAGGTCAGGCTGGGAGACTTAGCTGACTAGCGCTGAACACCACTAATTTAAACTTGCAATTTTGGTCTGATTTATAATGGTTTTCAGCAGGACTATTGGAACATGCAGAAAATAATCAGACAATGCTTCTTGAGGATTGGTCTGGTGAGAGCACTAAAACCCTACTTAAACCGTATAAGCTGATTCGCTATAGGGATATTAAAGGGGCACTTTTCAAATGGTCTCACTTGATTTTATCCATGGATTTTTAACTGTTTGTTGGGAAAACATAGAGTCTGCATCCCAAATCTCATACGCTCTTAAGTAGATACTTATTTTGAAAATATAAGTACTAAAAAAAGTATGTTTATGTGTAATACACACACATTCATATATGAATGTAATCTGGATGTACTAAATTCGCCATGCTATCATTATCATGTGACCTGCCGTTTCACTGCCATTCATAAAAACTCTCATGTGGCCTCATGGGAGAGTAAAGTGTCAATCGTATGCACACTTCAGAATCTCAGCGGAAGTAGGTCATCAGGATACTTTTTGCCTATACTCTTTTATGAGTAGCTACTGTGAATTCAGACATCAGGCTACTGTACAGTGGGAAGTATGCGATTTTTGATGCTGCCAGAGACTAGAGAGTGTTAAGGGTAAAAACAAAATGGCCACCAGCAGACAAGACATTACCTGCATTGAGATTTTATTGAAATACATTATTGAGAAGGTTGTGAAGTCTCATCAAGATTGAGACATTGACCAAAAGTAGTTTCAAAAGAGATGCGTTTTTGTTTTGTTTTTGTTTTTTTGTTTTTTAATTTTTCTTCAAGGTACAGTATTTGTAGTATTGGTAATTGTGTGTGCCTGATATGTTATTGTTCCTTTGTACAGTAGTTATTTAATGGTGGAGTTGAGTTGTTTGATTGTTTAAGTTGAAGTCTGGTACTCAAATGAACATTGATGAACATATTGATGAAACTTTTTATTTCCCTATATTGTAAAAAAAAAAAAAAAAAAAAAAAAAAAAGAAGAAGAAGAAAGAAAGAAAGAAATGTCTTTATTTTGTGTTATACTCACATAAGCCAAACATTAGTTTGACCTGGATGAGAGACTGGCATTTTAAAAAAAAAAAAAAAATTTAGCAGGATTATTAAATTTACTCTTCAGGTATAAGACATTTCTTGGTCAGGGTTCGGTTGGCGAGAGGTATAACAAAAGGGAAATTTAGAACTGATAATTAGGGACAAAGCACTTCCCATTTATGCACCCATTAGCAGAGTACACCGAAAAGGCAAAGCAGTGACAGATGAGGTCATCTCACTCTTTTGTCTTCCCTTTCTGCCATAGAAAAAATTGACAAATGCTTAAAATGTCTTTTCACTTCCACGTATTATGGAGCATTTGGACTTTGTAAATACACTTTTAATTCAGTATTGAATAGGCAGCAGGCTGCTCTTCCAGAAAATGTTTAAAATTATGATATTAACAAACCATTTTTAAATGTCAATTGACAGGGTTGTTCCATGGTGATTAGGACAAAGGTCAATAAATCTTTACAGAACACCACTAATGGAGGTGCTGTTCTGGTACGGTTTCAAATTATTATGGGTTTTTTTTTTTTTTTTTTTTTTTACTTTTTGGGATTTTCTTTTTTGAAGCAAATATTCCATAAGTGAGATCACATAATAAAAATCAGGTACTAATTTTTATATATATATATATATATATATATAACTTCTATATTTCAGTTCAGTAATTTCACTTAAATAACAATTAATAGGTAATTATCATTGCTATTTAAGTGAAATTACTGAACTTAAATATACAAGCTTGATAAAAATTATCATTTTAGAAGAAAATTTCAAATGGCACTTAGAGGCTTTTGCATCTGAACTCTTCATATATATATATATATATATATATATATGACCCTGAGTGAGCATGTAGGCTAATGTAAAAAAAAAAAAAAAATTGTAAACCCTGTTTCAGTGTTTCTATTTCAAACGTGTATGTTCACTGCAGTGTAACTTGCTAATCTTTTGCTTGAAATTTCTGAAAGAAAATTGTAAACCCTACACAATTTTCCCCCCGGTGTACATGAATATACTGTCTGATTCATATACATGGGTTTGTGTGACCGAATAAGATTTTAAGCAGTAGTTCTGATGTGGAGCTCCAAAAAGGGAACAAGAGATTTTGCCCAAATTCGTTTAGTGTTCTTTCTCCAAAATGGATTATGAGGACTGAAAAAAATTGAAAAATGAATAAGAACAGAGCACAGAAGGAAACCTGTGTGCTTGGCCTTGAGAGTATGATAATGGATTTGTACCCAATTATCCTCGACCCAAGTATGTAGAGACCCATGGTAGATTATATAAGTTGTAATCTTCCGTAATGGCAGGTTGTGAGCATGAAAGGTATTCCAGTGCAAAAACATGGAAAAAGAACATTAGAGCCTTCCAAATGCTACGTGCCAGTGTTTTGAGTGCACTCACTACCCAGGAGCCAAAGCGCTTCGCTTAGGGGCCAAAAACATGGCAGCTATAACATTATGGTATAGGGTTTGCATTTGAGATTTTTCCTAATAATGGCCTTTCATTCAGCTCTTTTCTCTTTGTCAAGGGTCATCATCTTCCCTTTCAGGTTTTGTTTTTGGTTTTTTTACGTCCACCTCCTCACTCTCTGGCAAAATGCACGAGGACCCAGGAAGATTCATTTCCTCTGCATCCAGAGCCCGAGTGGTATATGGAGGGTCCTTAAGGCTGTTTTTTAGACTGATATGAGGGCCTAATGACGAAGAAGCAAAACAAAGAGCACAGGGAAATCACAAATTCTGTGGAAATGAAAATTTCACTGCCGATTCCAGACAAGAAAATGGCCAGGCCAGTGGAAACTCCAAGTACACTCAAACCGCTGGCACACAGCCTTAATTACAAACCTATTGCATGCTATCCGTAATTGGAAAAAGCAGTTTTAAAAGGTTGCTTTTTGCGCGGAAGAAGCGAAGATGCTACTTTTTTAACATTTCTGAAAATCTACGATGCATAGAGGCTGTGTTTGACATTTAAAAAGAAGCTTTTACCTTCTCAATATTGGTACTCAGCAACATAATAGAATGTTGCCGTAATTGTAGCTTCCTTCAAACTTTAGGGGGATTTTTTTCCACAATGTTTTTTTTTTCAAGTCACAATTCCTTTTCTTGATGCGTTTATGTCCAATTGATCACATATTCTATAGGCATCTTGACTCATGCATATTCCATTTCTATGAAATTAAAAAAGGCAATTATTTTGAACAAAAATTAAAAAAAAAAAATCTATTTCTCATCGTTTAAAGTTCTGACACATTATGACCAATGCAACAGGTTGCATTTTCCTGTGGGTGGGTGTTTCATATGATCATGCTTCATGTCATAAAGCTCTAAAATAAAACGTTATCGCATGCAATTTTGAGTCATATTCAGAAGAAAAGATCTTTATGGACCGAACAGAATTATGTAGATCTGCCTGCTGCTGCTTGGTCAGTGTGTGTAAATATATTCTCCTAGCACTAAGCCCTCACAGATAGAAATAAAGGCGTGAGCTCCCTCATTGGCTGACCAGAATACATGGCTGCATTCTATTGGTCGTCCTGATCAGCTGACAGGATGCTGTTGCTTAGATACATTGTTACCTACCAAAGCCAACCCTTCTCTGCAGCCTTGCCAGTTCAATCAATGTGGCCACAGACTGCTAGCTTAAATCTCATGCTGTATTTCAAACGTGTCTAAATATGTTGCTTCTTGTAAAATCATCATTCTTGTAATTGATTCAAGTGCCTCATTTAAAAGATTAAGTGGACGAGTAATGTTTAGATATCTGATGAGGTTATTGATACGCTTTCTGTATGCAATAAACATGCATTTTGTGAGCGAATGAGTG